AGGCGCTGTCCGAGGTCTTCGGGCGGCTGCGGTATCGCGACACGTCACTCCTCATCTGGCAGCAGCAGCAGCTGGAAGCAGCACCGCCCTCCACCTACCTGAGCCGCAGCCAATCAGCCTGGTACAGTAACTATGGCAACCAGGCAGTTCTGGTCCGAGACAGGAGGGGTGCGGACGAGGGGCGGTCCCGGATCTGCAGCATCATGTGACGCTAACGAGAGCAGTTCAGTTTGGTCGCTAACCAACAGTTTTTTAATTTAGAGAACTGTCCAATCAGAGAGAAGCATTAAGATCCACGCCCCGCCCCTCCCCTCTCTCTCACCCACAGACTGCAGACAGGAAAAAACGAACAGTATTGTCAGCTTGGCAAGCTCCAGCATCAGCTCTGATGACCAGTTTAATGGACTTCCTGCCCTACAGGGGGCGTCCCGTGTCAGTATCCCGAACCCTAGCGTCCTCCATTTTGATTTGGGGAATGAAGCCAGCAGCACCGCACTGAAACCATCACCTTCATCCAGCATGCCACCAAAAGACATTGTCCTGTTTGAAACCCTTAAGTGACCAATCAGCACGCAGTAACAGCACACTGGTGCTTTCTGGGTAAAATCATTGTCACTGAGAGAAACTGAAGGTAACGAGTCTTCAGACGTGTTGATTTATGGAAACGACGAATAAAATGTTTTCTTGTTTCAGCTCTGTCATTCTTACTCAGTGAAGACTGAGAGCGCCCCCTAATGTCAGGCCAGTGAAGCTGATATACAAACAAGCACAGTTCCACCTGCACATCCGTTTCCCTGCACGATGAAGAAATGTTAGTAAATCAGATCCTGAGCTAAATGTGTTCAGACTGTGATGATCAAACATCTGCTGTAAGGACTTCGGTGGTTCGAAGCAGCAGGAAATGAAACTCATGAAAAAGTCCAGTATTGATCCTCCCTTCACATTTTCCCATCCTGGCCCTCGAGCCTTATATTTGACACCCCAGGATTAAAGAGTGGGATAGGGGGCGGGGCTTGTGTGTGTGGTGACTGTTTATTAGTTTAGCTGCATGTCGACTCCGGCGTTTCACGAGGGAGCAGCGGGCTCGTCTCAGCCCCGCCCACTCGGTGCAGTCCAGGACAACGCCCAGTGTCACAGCACGCCTCAGGTGGCCCCCGTGACTTCGCTCACGTCGTCCGTCAGAGCGCGCTCGGTGACAAAAGAGCGGAGCCGCTTGTTTTCAGTTTATGTGTTTATTTATGAAAACAAATGAACTCAGAAAATAAGGATCCCATATCAGTAATTACATCAAATAATTCACTTGTTTCGTCCCCTCTGCGTCTCTACGAGTGGAGCTCGCTCTAACCTCAGACGGCTACTTTACAGCTACTATACAGCGCTCAAACATACGCGAGAAAAACGTACGGCCGGAGTGCATGCAATACATAAAACCACTGTTTCCTTTTCTTATTAAAATACAAAATTAACTATGAGCGTCGAGGCTCAACCATCAATTAAAAACAAAGAGGAGGGTTACTGTGGCAACGAGCTGTCCGCCTGTCTGTCGCAGGGCGTCCCGATCGAACGCTTTGCCCGGTCCATCGAGTCGTAATGCGCCCGCAAAACAAAACGTGGAGGCTAAAGGAAAGATCCGTGACAACGATGACGATGTGGCGCCACCCGGAGGTCGTGTGATCACCAGATTATTCTCCAACACCTGTCATTTACCAGGTGACCTTCAGGGGGCACCACAGGTAAACTGATCTCCAGCTGGAGGTCGCCAATAATCGGGTCAGAGGAGCAAGGGGAGGAGAGATTTTACTGAACACGCCCCCCTGGCTCCAGCCAATCGGAAACCATTTATATCATTGGGCATGTCGGTTCAACAGCTTCAGTAAAACTCTACGTCTAATATTCATGATTCATCTTTGTTTGCGCTCTGCAGCTCGTACAAAATTCAGAACGCCACCGAGGACGCGGCGTCAACGTCATGATGGATTTCAGAGAAAACAAACTTCCTGTTTGTCGATACTTCCTTTGCCAAGAACCGACACGGCGTCCAGGAATAAGAACAACTATGGCCGCGTCCCAGAGAGCCCAACGCCATCGGAGGTCTAACCACAGAGGTCAGAGGGCAACAGGCCTATCCGTCTGACACTGGTGTCAGGTGATCAGAAATCTGACGCCACAATGCCCAACGTAAGCCACAAACATCCACCGAGCGCTCGACAGACGGGTTTTTTCTGAAATCGCGAAAATGAGTCGTGACTGCGGTGGGCGTGGCATTTCCTCAGAAATCGTTTCCTGCGTCCTGATGTCCTCCGAGCGGCAGCGAGCTCCAAAACCTTAAAATAAATTGTCTAAAAAGCTTTAAAAGAAACGAGGTGCTCCGAGTTTGGACCCTGACAGGAGGAGGCGGTACAGTGTGAGTGGTTCTTTTTTGGCGGGTGAGAATGGGGGCGGCGCTTGAACAGGACAGCAATAGAAAGACATTTTATATAGAGAACCTTATAAGACACAAACAAGTTCAGCACACAACCTGAAAATCAAAAACAGGAAATGTAGTGTTAAAAAAAACAAATCAACGTCTCTGTGCTGACAGAGCCGTGCTGGGGGCGGGGTCAGGATCCTGTGACCCCACCCACATTGCCACGATGACCCCAAGGACAAACAGGAAGTTGTGTGTTGGGTTGCAGGACCAGCAGGGGGCAGGGTTGGTCTCAGAGGTTTTTAAGGTGGAGCTGAAAGATCCAGAAGCCGGTTCGATCCAAAGGGTCGATCAGTCAAAAAAACTTTATTTCCCGCTGAGACGGTCAAGAGTCCACTTGGACACTTTTTAAAGCGTCACCTGATGAGGACTCCAGAGCAGGCGGTATGGCCACGCCCTCTGTCTATCTGCAGGCAGTTTCCTGTTACGTGTTTTAAAGGGTTTAACGCCAAACTGAACCAACCACCAACAAAATCAGGGTATGGTTACCCGTCATAAATACCTCAAAATGGTTTAAATAAAGTTTTGAATTAAAGATACTTTTTGTAACAACCTTCTGCAGAATGTAACTAAACATTCCACCACCAGGGGGCGCCATGTCACCACTGAGGTCAGGCCTTGTCCTCTTAGTTTTCACACTGGCACAGGAGCGTGCTCATACCCGTTTTAAATAAAGTTTACGCTGGTTTCATTTAGTGGCACAAACTGGTATTACACTGAAGTTCTTCCTTTTTCTCCTCAGTGACACTTTTAATTTGAAAAGCTTTTAATTTGAACATTTAAACTGGATTTTACAAAAAGTACCTTTAAACTGTTAAACTGTATTTTCCTGCTGACCCCGCCCACCGCCATACTGCTGCCTGTTTCCCACCTCGCTGGTTTCCTCAATCCCAGTTTAAAGTAGCAGACGGCATATCAGAAGGAGGGGCTAAACAACGCGTTGCCGCCAGGTTCAGAGAAAAAACGGTTATCTGTAAAACTGTTCTGTGATGTCACACGCCGACATTGTCAGGGCTTCTCTCTGCTGCGGCGCTGCCGACACCTTCAAATGAAACGTGAGATGCGCTCATTCGTCTCAGTATCCACAAACCTGCTGAGATCACCTGCTCCTCCTCTCCAATGATACTTGTGGAATGTATTCAGAGGTCAGGGGTCACCGCCGGCCGTCCACAAAGAAGAAAAAGACGAAGAAAGAAAGTCTCGACGGTTGCATTTCTGTCCACAGATCAGTAAGACTCCCAGACGGGCTGCCCATCGCTCTACCTGACTCCGCCCACATCACTTTCTTCTGTCTGCAGTCCTCCAATAGCGGAAAAATAAAACGGAAAACAAAAGCACTAGGAGCTAAAAAAACAAACAGGTCAGCCTATTTACATCCAGTCTGTTTAAACGTGTGTAACGAGTTCAGAGTGTCTCCGTCTTTGTGTTTGTTCAGGTGTGTGTGTGTGTGTGTGTTCAGTGACACGTGTGTGTGTGAACGCGTGTTCAGTCTGTGTCGGAGGATGAGGAGGTTCCTGTCGAGGAGCTGTCATCGGAGGAGGAAGAGGAGCTGCCACTCAAACGACTAGCCCCGCCTCCTGAGGCCCCGCCTCCAGCTGCCTTCTCTGAAAAGAGAAATAAGACGAGTCAATGAGACGTCCCGGCCCGGTGACGCCGTTTCTGTCGGCGCTCGACGGCAGAGGGGATGAAGATGATTGTTGCCTAGACAACACGTGCTCACACGATGCCCCACCCCCCTCGTATCGGACCGCTCAGGCATCGACGGCGTGCTTTCGAGGCGGTACTTACGCAGTAGCTTCCTCTGCTTCTTCTGCAGGCAGGACTTGACGTAGCGCTCGAGCTCTCGGAGCGTGGAGGGTTTGAGCGTCTCGAAGTCGATCTCGATCTCGTCGGGGTTGGAGTCCCTCAGCGACGGCTCTCTGGTCTGGATGATGTGCACGACGCGGCCCAGCTTCTCTCCCGGCAGCCGGTTGATGTCCAGACTCAGCTGCCGCTTCTCGTCGTACGACATCGGCAGCGACGACTCCTCGCCGTCGTCCCCGTTGGCCGAGCCGCTGCCCGACGTCTTGCTGCCTTTCTTGGGTTGCCTGGAAACACAGTCACCGCGGTCACCACATTGTCCTGTGCTCAGGTGGATTTGCTGAACACTGAGTCGTACCTGGTGGCCGTCACCGTGCTGTTGGCTTTTCTGGCTGGCGCCTTCTTCTGATTGGCCGGTTTGGGCTGCTGGGCGGCGGCCTTTGGCTTCTTCTCTTCCTCCATCTTGCCTTTATTTCCCTTGTCTTTCTCCTTCTCTTTCTTCTTCTCCTTGTCTTTCTTCTCTTTCTTCTTCTTTGGCTTGCTGACCGGCGCCTGGGACAGGACCGCCAGCTGCTCTTGCACCGCCTTCAACTGATGGAATAAACTGATTATCAATACCCGTCATCTGCGATCAATACACGGCCACGCCTTCACGGTGAGTCACAGGAGCCATGGATATTTCAAACATGAATGTAAACGAATCGTGAAATCTAAAATGATAAAAAGAAGAAAACCAAGATGTTCTTGACCTGTGATTGGTCGGCAGCACCAACCTGCTCCTGTAGCTCAGCCAATCGCGTGGCCCGCTCCTCCTCAGAGTCGGATGATTCGTCAGAGGAGGAGTTGTTGCTGCTGTCGGAGGAGGCGGTGCTTTTGCTGACCACCGGTGTCGTGGTGGGGACCGACGCCTCCAGGCCCTCGTCGGGGATTTTAGCGAAACGCATTTCAAACACGTCCTGATGGCAGACGGGTTATCGATACCTGATCGCAGCGATCGATCGAGCAGGAAACGGAGGCTTTACGTACCTGCAGCTTGCGGGCCATGGCCACCACCTCGTGGTCTGGGGGGTTGTACTTGTAGCAGTTGGAGAACATTAACCTGACGTCAGTGGCGAAGCTCTGAGGGTCGCTGTACTCGCCTTTATCCATTTTTTTCTGTCGGGAAACAAACGAACATCAGAGATGGCGCCATCTGAAGGTCCGGAGTACAGACACCCGACGGCGTTAAACGGTTCCAGTTTTCCACCAGAGCGAGCTTTGAACCGGCCGCAGGGCCGGGAATCGCCGCAGCCCACGATCACAGCGTTGTTATGGTTTCATGTTTTACTCTGCAGTACTGCAGTAACCGGGGTTACTGCAGTACTGCAATAACCGGGGTTACTGCAGTACTGCTACAATAACGTGTATTATCTGCATTCAGCTCGTTCAACTTCAGGTTACGTGCTCGGAGTTAAACTTTGTTTGGATCCAGTCAGAGTCGTCAGGCGCCGCCGCTGAAACCTGCTGTTCCCACGAGCGCCGGGCGGCTCTGCTCGGGTCCCGGTAACGCCCGGTACCACGGAGGTTTCAAGCGATCTGAAGATGTAACGGACTGCGTGCCATCGACGGGCTAATCAACGGTGTCGCCTGTCGTGACTCATCGAACCCCAGCGGTTTAATCGCACAACGCCGCGGTGCCTGAGTGCGACACAGACCGAGCAGCACGTACACGGCAGGTGGAGCCGGCGGACGCTCAGCTGTGGATCTCCGACACCACAGAATGATGAGGGACGCTCAGGTACGAGAAAACCTCGTCACTCTAACGCCTCGACCCGTTTGAGGTTTACTCTGTGCTGGCGTGACGGTGACGGCAGCGTGGACGTATGTTGGGTTACAGCGAGCAGAAAAGCCCTCCCTCTCTGCGTCAGTTCCCGCTCACAGACTTCCTGTGATGTTGATCGTCACGACCACGTTGTGGTCAGGCGTTTCTACGGCGCCTGCAGAGTTTGAACCACCGCTGACCTCACTCTAACCTCGTGTCTACGTGATGATGTCATTACCCGGATGGTGCTGAGGTCCATGGGGTGTTTGATGATGTCGTGGTAGTCGTGCAGCTCCAGCGCCTCAGCGTCCACGGGCTTGTAGAAGGGCCAGGCGTAGGCGGCGTGCTTCTTCGAGAGCATCTCCTTCAGGATGGCGTCGCAGTGTTTCATCTGCTCGCCCAGCTTACCGCCTTTCCTCCCCCCGGGGCCGACACCTCCGGCGCCCACGTCCCTGGCCGCCAGGTCGTCCCCGGTGTCCCGCCGGGTCTTGGTGGGGCGGGCGGCGGCTTCGCGGCGAGACGAGGCCAGTTTAGCCGGTTTGGCGTCCTGAGCAGACGGAGAGTCGGCGCGGCCGGCAGAGATGGCCGACGTGGTCGGAGTGGTGGTATCAGCTTTCCTCTTCACGCCTTTCTTCTGTTAGAGAGACAGACAGGTGGAGGGGGCGGGCTCAGGTTCTGTTTCAGGTCACGTGACGCCGTGTCGCCGCCCACGCCTCTTACCTTAACCACAGGCTGGGCAGATGGCATCAAGGTCGCAGGAGGCTGAGGTGCAGACACAGGGGGCGTGGCCTGGACTGGTGTGGGCGTGGTCGAGATTACCGGCGTCTGAGAGGGGGAGGGGGAGGGATAGGAGGGGGGAGGGGAGGCTGAAGACTCAGCCTGTTGACTCACTGAAAGAGAGACAGGAAGTAGTTACTGAACACCTGATCAACCAGTTCCTCTCAATAAAGGTGCGTGCCGTGTAAGACCACCTCTGGTGCCGCAGCGTTACCTGTGTCCGTCTCACCTGTGGTGGCGGCCGGCTGTTTGCTCTTGTTCTTGCCTTTGGGCGCCGGAGGCAGCAGAGCGACTTCTTCTTGAGGCATCTGAGCGACTTTCTGCAGGAAGATCTTCTCTAAAGCCTGAGCCATGAGGACGATGTCGTCTGTGGGCTGCACACACACACACA